TATTAATCATGTCTTGCACCATGAGCAAAATCTTTGCTGTTATCTGAGTAATTATTTCTGATTTCATTTTTCCCAGATCCTCTTTTGTTGCCAGTTGAGAGAGTCCAGGTGGTTGAGTATCAGAGTGTTCCATCTCGTTTCCCTTTGGGATTGCTGTAGGTGATCTGGAAGTCTGTTTTTGAGGCTTATTTATGTGTCTTCTCATTTCCACGAGGTGGGGGGTGCTTCTGGTGCCCATGCGGCTCACCTTCTCTGCCCTAGGAGCTTGGGATGGAGACGGGAGCTTCTTTCCAGGTGCTGGGACTGGCTCACCTTCTTGGCCCTAGGAGCCTGGGATGGCAGCGGGGGAACTTCCTTCCGGGTGCTGGGATTTCATCAATTCTTAGATGCACATTTTCTCACATTTAACTTCCCTGAAATGAGAATGAATCTTACAATCAAATAATTTTACAATTAGAAACATCATTTTTCCATTTTTAGTGATACGTAAAACAATGGTGTGCCTGATAGTACCTACGTATTTTGTCTTACATTCAATAAAATATTGTTATCAGCCCATTTTAAAACAAACCAACATGCTTAACCTGTACTATCTGGGTGGGAAGGTAATTATAACAAGGTTAAACATAGCATCTTCTATATTTAGCATGACTTTGGTGAAGCTTAGTGAAAAATATTTAACTAGAAGACAATCCCCTATTCTGTGGGTCCAGATCCAGCATTCTTAACCTACACTGGATTCCTTATCAAAAAGTTAGCATCCCATACAATCTGTAGCATACTCTTTCTGGTCATGAAACTATGTGAAGTAGAAAATTCTCAGGAGCAAAACACACTCAATAGCTATTTGGTTGTAAACTCTGAACAGCCATGTGCTACACTTATGTGGCTGCTCACTAAGCAATGGTCTGTTACATTTTTTGCTTTCTAATGCAAATGAAACTGTTTTCCTTAGTAGAACACATTCATCTCTGTATTTAGTCAATCCTCTGCAAGGATTAAAACAAATGAATAGGGAAAATGAAATGAAGAAAATAGAGCCGAGATGATCGTATTGATTTTTTTTTTCATATGTGATGAAAATAATGCAAATTCTGAGGAAGACCACTTATGGGGTGAAAAGAAAATAACTGTAAAGTTGTTTGTACCATTTCTTGCAATTCTAACAAGATGGGAAATATACAAAAATAACTACAATGCTCACGTTTAAACTTTGCCCCCAGGCAGCGCTTTGAAACCCTAATCTCTAACTTGGGGCAAACGAAAAACAAAACAACCCAACTTTTCGTAATTTAAGAAGGCAGAACTTGGACACTAGTTGCCTTGAATTGTAAATTCAATACAAAATGACAGAAGTGTTTGAAAATATACTCATTCTTCTTTTCATCATGCTTTCTTTGACATAAACTATTTTGTGGGTCAAGAAATAGAGCAAAATCCAGAAAAGTTGAGGTTCTTGATAAGGTAAAGACTACCAGATCAACTGGGAATTTGTTGGTTGAGAGTTAACTCATCATTTTTATAGAATCAATTACAGCTTGTCAAAGCTGGGCAGTCACATAGTATACCTGAAGCAAGAAAGAATTTTTTTTAAATCCACTTAGCCATATCATCCCATTGAATTCCTACTATAATCCCCGGAGGTAAATGTCATCATTTCCACTTTACAGATGAGGCACTCTACCTTAGAAATATTTCATCATTTATCAAGGCCACACAACTAGCAAAAGCCAGACTAGGCTTGAACCATTGCATGACACACATGACACACTACATCTGTAATTATTTCTAAATCTGTAAATATCAATTTCGAAACATATCTGGACCCAAGGATTGAGAGGAAGGGAGTGTGGGCCGGTGTTTTGTTAAGATGCTCACCTACATTTCTGGTGTCTCAGGAGTTCGATCTCAGCGAAGTGAAAAATCCAGCATGTGGTAAATGGGTTCGTTTTCTGCTGTGTGGTCAGATAAGCATGTTATTTTGCAGAATTTGCCTGGTTGGTATTAACTACATAAAAGCAGCAGCCACCCACACAGAGCTGAATCGTTTTATAATTTAGAACAATACAGTGTAGACAGTGTCTATTATTAAGTCCTTCAGCAGGTTCTGGGGTAGCACCCTATAATCAAACATGTTAACTTTTATACAGTGAAGTGTATGAATATTCTCTCTAAATGGGGAAAACATTAGAAGGAACCTGAGAATAACTGAAGTCAAATTTTGCTAGCAAATCACTGATGGAAAAAATCTTTGGCTTTTCAAAGCATTTAGATCATGAAATTGGACATGAACTTGTACATCACATACTTTTTTTCCTGGTAAAAACAGGATTCTGTGTGATCTCAGTCACTGGCCCCAAAAGCTCTCCCTTTAAAAAAGGCCACTTCTCTGACCAGGATTAGACAGGTACGAGTTCCCCATGTCCCTTGCCCTCTTATATGTGCAGTGCACTGGGCTTCCTCTTTGTGGGGCTCCTTTTCTCCTCCCCAGGACTACATCTCTGCTCTACACCCACTCTGAGATCAGGGAAGTTCATGTTAGATAGACTATAGGCAATCTGCGTTTTACTTTTCTGAAGTTTCCCCCCAAAGCCTATTTTACATTTATACCCTCTGGTGCCAATAGTGTGTGTGTGTCTGTGTGTGTGTGTGTGTGTGTGTGTGTGTGTGTGTGTGTGTGTGTCCTCTACCCAAGACCACAGACCTGCTGTGACAGAAAGACTAGATGAACAGTTCACCTAGTCTATTTCCTATGATGACAGCCTCCAAGTGGCCCTTGCTGCCTGGCCTTAATGCCCTGCACTTGTCCCCTTCGTCACTACCAGTTCTTGGGACCAAAAGAACAGAGGAGAAACCATGACACATCACCTCAGGCAGAAAATAGGGTATAAGGGCCTCTCTTTCTCCCTCCCTCGCCTTCTCTCACGCCCTTTCCCTCCTCTCCAGTGGCAATGTCATAAGAACGCTCAGGCAGCTCTGTCAAGGGGCCTTAGGACAAGGAGCTGAGGCCTCCTGCCACGTGAGCTACCATCTTGGAAGCAGCTCCTCCAGCCCAGAACTCACCCCTGGATTACTATAGCCTCAAGGGAGACCTGAGCCAGAACCGCCCAGCTAACATGCTCCCCAATTTCCAACCCACACAAACCATGCGATAGTACATGTCGGTTGTGTTAAGCCACCAAGTTGTAAGAGTGTTTGTTATGCAGCAACGCATAACCAATATATCACCTCCATTTCACAGACAGAAGTTGTATCTTAGCAGTGAGATGAGGTGCTCCAGATCCCCTCCATCCTGTGACTCCAAGCACCAGCCCAGATCACCCTGCTTGTGTGGCCTGAGCAGGAGGTCTCTTAATTTTTCCCCTCTTAGAGGCTGTTTCCAGAATCTTGTTTTCCCCAAAGATGCTTAGAAGTCTCTGGAAAATCTGGGCGATACTTCCACTGTGAAAAGGAAAGTCTGGCAAAGATGTCGTGCTTCTGGAGGGAGTGTGCCCACTCGCTAAATTTCCCAAAATAATCTTCTTTTGTGAGTTTGTTTTTTGAGAGATGGTTTTTGTTTTTTCCTCTGAGGGTGAAACTTTCTACACTGTGGTTGTTAAGTCAGGAAAAATGAGAGTGCCTTTAGACCCTTTTCTCTCCCTGTTGTGAAAGAGCATGTTCTGAATAACTCATCCACTCTCTCTGGAGTTTCATCACAGCATTGACCTTGGCCTTGCCCACGAGATGGCATCAGTCACCAAGGCTGCAGTGGCCCCCTGGTTCCTCAGCCTGCTCCATGCTCTAATGGGGAACATCTTCTCTCACCAGCTGCAGTTTATACACAGATGTGTTTCCTGTCTGAAGTCCCCGTCTGCCTCTCCTCTCTCCATATGCCATATGCTTATGTATTTGAGGTACAGATGGAGACATTACTCATGTAATTTGTCACATGGGAGAATCCACAGGCTAGCTGTTTGGTTTCAGTTTAAGTATTAATTTCTACCTTTGCTACTGTTAAAAAAAACCCTGAAATTTCAATGACAGCTGTAGGTAAATTATCTACCTCCTCTTAGTACTACCAGACTCTTCCTTCTAAGGCTAAAGTGAGGTATGAGATATCCACAAATTACAGAGAAATACACAAACCTAGTCTGGTAAATTATTGCAACAGGGGTCTACTTCTTTGCCTCTTCACTCATTGGCCTGCAACCCCCCCCCCCAGATTGAACCCAAAGCCTTTGCACTGAGCTATATCCCCAGACCATTTTTTATTTTGAGAGTCTCACAAAGTCATGAAGTTGTCCAGGCTGGGCTTGAACTTGCAATCCTCTTGCCTTAGCCTCCTAGAGTGCTGGGATTACAGGCCTGTGCCACCATGCCAAGCTGGCCTGCAACTTTGGAGTACCTTTTTCTAAACAGACAGTGTCTATTTCCCATCCCTTGAAGCCAGGCTGGCCTTTTGACTTGCTTTAGCCAATAGAATGTGGCAGAAGTGATTATGAGCCAGTTCCAAGCCTTTACCTCAGGGGACCTTGGAGCTTCCGTTCTTTCTTGGAACCTTGCCCCCACAATGAGCACATGCTCAGGCTACCAATGACAGTGGACAGCCAGCCGGACCCAGGCATACGAGTCAGCCCAGCCAAAATCAGCAGAGCCACCAACTTAACCTCCATCTGACCACAGACGTGTGCAAAAGCACAGCAAAAACAACCACCCAGTCATCCTATAGGATCACAGGCAATAATACATGGTTTCTGTACCACTGAGTATTGGGGTAATTTGTTATGCAGTATTATTACGGCAACAGATAACTGATATACAGTGGCCTGTATTTTTTTTCCTTTTTGGCTTATGGGACATCTTACTGTGGTTTGGATATAGTTTAAGTGTGCACCGCCCCCCCGCAAAGTTCATCCATTGGTGACCTGGTCTCCAGGATGCTGGCATTAGGAAACAATGAGAACTTTAAGAAGTGGCTCCCAGTGGAAGGTCCATAGGTCAACTGGGAGATGTTCACGGAAATGACTGTGGAACCCCAATCTCTCTCGGGCTTCCTGTCCAGCATGCGGCCTCTTCCTCCCACCCACACGTCTACAACTGTCATCACCATGGTGTGACCGAGCCAGGGATGGCTGGCTTCACTGGAGCATGTGCCATTCTATTTGGACATTCAGGCTCAAAAACAATGATGAAAATAAACCTCTTTTCTTTATAAAATTAGCCTGCCTCAGGTATTTTGTTAGACTAACAAGAACATATACATGCTTAGGCCTCAAGCCAAAGCTGAGCCACAGAAGTTTCCCAGAAATAATGCTTTTCACATTCTGCCTTGGTGGGGGAGGGGGAGCCTGGCTGCTTCTTCCACTTCAGCTGCACCCGCCACCCATGCCCAGAGGGACCTGGGCCGACTGATTCCTGAGCGTGCCGAGGGGTCTGGTTCTGAAGTGAGCTGCTTCCAGCTCCTCCTTTGGCCAAGTGGAGCTGCCTGGTCCGAAGGGGCTGAAGCCTTAAGCAGAGAAGAGTATCTGGCTTCCTTCCCAGAAAGGACTGAGTATCTGTCTGCATGATCAGGAAGGTCACTCGAGGTCATGGGCAAGGGTGAGCCACAGGTCCAACAAGGAAGGACTAGAAAAAGCAGCATAAGGGAAAATGCCATGAAAGAGACATTTAGGGTCTTGAAATTTAGTCAGCAGCAGTTTTCAATGATGAGCAGCAAAAATGCTCCATTGAAGCTGAGAGCCACGGACCTGCTTTGATGAACTTCTTGACCATTTCCAGCTCATATCATCCCAGCCCCACGACAACCACCTCAAGTTCACTTATGCCCTAAAAGTAGCCATGTGTGACTTTTTGTATCGCCAGCCATGATTAGATTCCATGTAGGAACTATTATAGGTTTAGCATTGTCATTAAATATTATTCTCATTCTCTCTCTCTAGTGCTAGGGATTGAACACAGGGTCTCACATATGCTAGGCAAGTGTTCTGTCACTAAGCTATAATCCAAGCCCCTAGTCCTGGTGGTAATTTTCTGAGTTTTTCTTCAAAACTATTTCCTTGGTATTATGCAAAAAAAAAAAAAAAAAAACCAGCTCGGCCGTGATGCACACCTGTAATCCTAGCATTCTGGGAGGCCAAGGCAGGAGGATCTTAAGTTCAAGCCCAGCCTGGGCAACTTAGAGAGAACTTGTCTCAAAATTTAAAAATGAAAAGAGCTGGGGATATAGCTGATCGTGAAGGCCCTGGGTTCCATCCCCAGTATGGCAGGGGGATGAGGTTAACAAAAAACGAAGAAGAATGTTCACAGTCCCTGCAAAGTACAAACAATTTCCTAAACTCTCTTCCTCTTCTCATTCTTCCCCTAGACTTCTTTTCCCACTGGTCTAGTTCCTTAAATAACCATTTCAAAGTAAACGTTATGTGAAGAGGAAAATACCTCCCACCCCAAGATGGTCAGACCACCTCTTGCTGTTCAGTCGCCAGGGGTTGCTGCCAGGAGATGCACGCTTGCTGCGAGTCTGACAGGACTTCAGAAATCCCAGCAGTCCTTTGAGCTTGTTGTAGTGTTTACTGATAATTTTTCTTTCTCTCTCCTCCCCTCTTGGTACTGGGGATTGAAACCAGCAAGTACTGAGCTACATCCCCAGCCCTTTTTATTTTGAGACAAAGTCTCACTAAATTGCTGGTTTGGAATTTGAGATCCTCCTGCCTCAGCCTCCCAAGAAACTAGGATTACAGGCATGCACCTTTGAGCAAGCCCAAAAGTAGTATTTCTTAAAGAGGTAGAAATGTTGCTTTTCCTGCTCATTTTGCTCTTGCACTTTTGGCAAATACGATCTCCCCTTCTTCCGTGATCCCAGGCCTGGGTCCTCCCTCAGCTTGGGACCAGGGATGACTTTTTAATTGTTCCTGAAATTTCTAACCACATTTTAAAAGCAGGCTACTGCATGATTTATGTAACACTTTTTGTTTCATTAAAGGTGAACTAGGAATGGCTTGATAAAGTTTTTCAAGACTGACAGTAACTAAAAAGCTTCTGTTATAATTACTCTCTGCTTTGATACATAAAGTATTCTAGATGGCTCCCTACTAAGATGAAATAGATATGAAACATAAAACTCAGGGCTTGCAAAAATACAGATGCATAAAACCAGGGAAAAAGCAGAAAAAAATACTATGCATCCACCACTCCAAAAATGAACCCAAAACCTGGCCCTAAACTTTCAAAGAGCCCACTCCAAAAGAGAAAATATGCTTCAGTGTTGATCTATGTTGTCTAAAAAGTAAAGCTTGCAGTAATTCTGACAAAGCAAATTTTCTCCCAGTACAGAGAGCTGAAAGCACATTCCCATCTGGGCCTTCTCATGGGGGGTATCTTTCTCTCTGCCGGAATCAATGTGGTTGTTGCTAGGACAGGAATGTTTATTAAAAGAGCCCTCCATCAGAGGCTAACAAGAGTATCAGTGCACTTCCTAACAAACCGATCTTTCCCAGGGACTTATGGCAGTATGATCTAGGTGTTCAGCTCTCTAGTCAATCAACAGGAATTAAACTGGGGGTGTCCAGAGATGCAGAACTGGCTCATCCTTAAAATAAATCTCCATTAATAGTCCTCTCAACTGCGTTTTGACTTTTCCTCATAATACTTTTTAGCAGGAAATATCAGTAGAGAGTTCTGCAAAGGCTAAATAAAAGGAAATTAGCTTAATTTGCAATGAGAGACTTTTAGGTATGTTTAGAAAAAAAAACGTCTGGTCGAGAGCTAGCTTTTACAGTGGATTCCTAGGAGAATAGATTCTCATAAGATGTAGTTTTGTCTTGTGCCTTAAGGGATGGAAATGTTTGCATAAGGCTTCTCCCAAGTGGTGATTATGAAAATTTACTTCCACTGAGCTGGATACATAAGAATTTCATGCTGATCCTTGACTCCTATGTGGAGTCGGGGGTAAGAAAAGGAAATATATTAGAAAAAAGGGGCTCCTAGCCAACCCAGAGGTAAATTACCATTGAGGGCTGGCTCAGGTTCCATATGGCCAGAATGAAACTTCCAGCTATTTGTTTGAGATTCTGTGGGAACCAAGAACTCCAGAGCCCAGGGACATGAGAGAACATCCCGGAAATAAACTCTTCGTTGGATCTTGTTTCCATTCTGTGACAGAAAGCTCCCTAGGGCTCCCTTTCCTCATGATTTTAGGGTCAGAGGAAGAGCTTTAATAAGCACCTTTGGAGTTCGAGCTTGGACTTACTTCTTTCCCACAGAAGAGCTAATGCTTGGAACGATATGGTTAGACATTCCATATGTCCCTCCAGAAACCAAGCAGTCCAAAGCAAACATAATAGATCACTCAAATGACCCCACCGAATCTACCAAGTATCTCTAATCTCAACAAAACCAAAGTATGTATTGTATCGACAAGGGGGGCCTGGCTAAAAGGAGACTAGCACTCCCCTGGATTCTCCTGCCTAGGATCTCTCTCACCTAGAAAAAAAATTGTGTAAGACTGAATTGCTATCTAGCCAATGAAAGCGTCACAGTTCTCAGTGGGATGCGACCAGTGCAGATAGAAGTCTTAAAGCCACATGGAAAATGGGCTACCCAGACCTGGGTAGAGCAACTCACCGAGCATTTCTTTCTTGATGCCCAATCCTGCATGTTCATTTGTGAGAGGAAAACCTTTGAGGTGAAGCTGTTAATTGCATTGGGTCAGGTTCCCCCGAAGAGCCAAAGTTGATGGCTGTTGGGGAGGTGATTGATTGGGGGCTGCTTGCAGGAAATCTGTACAAGAATGAGAGCAGGATTGGAGAAGGCAAGGATGTATTTTCAGGAGGAATTTAGCCTCTCTGCCCAATCCCACGGGGGAACTCTGGTGCATAAACAGCATGGTCTGCCACTCTGGTGGGTCCTATCTTGAGGCATGGGGGCGTTGGTAGCCGGCACCTATCCGGCCCTGGCTCCCAGCCACCTTAGTAAGCAAGGGAAGGCGACCTTCAAGCGTCTCCACCTGGGCTGTACCACTCGTCTGAGGGCCACTTTCAGAGCAGGTTGCTGTGTGAGTTCTTAGCTACAGCACCTGTAGCAGCTTAGTAACAGGATTCCCAGGGTAGCAAGCAAGACATCAACAGCAGCAGCTAAACTGGCACGTGCTAAAGAAATTACTATGCTTTCCCCGAGTTTCGGATCCAATGCATCTGGGATGAGGCTGAAGCATTCAAATTTCCCAAGTGATCTTATACTGTTAGGCCAAGGACCGCACTTTGAGCACCAGTGAGCAAAGCTAATATTTTTTAAAAGCAATCAATCACCTTTGGGAAGCTGAGTCATGGACAGCTTCACTGGGCATTTGCACATCAACACAGTTACAAAGGTTAAATAAAGTGATGGTTGGCTTATCAAAAAGAAAGAAAGGTTGATTTTATCAGGCCATTGACTCAGCTAAAAAATTGCCTCTTCTTACTATCAACCCCAATTCTCAAAAGGGAAATAAAGAAAATGATGGAAGGACTATACCATTTTTTCCTGGAGACAAACCCCTCATCAGATCAGTGACTGGGTGGATAGGGAGTTATAAGGCCTACATTCTAGTCCCTCTGTCCCCTGAAGGATGTGTGCTCACTGGCAAGTAGCCTCAAACTGCTATGCTTCAGTTCTGATGTAATATAGAGATCTTAAAGGTCACTGCTGCCCTGCACTGTTAGCCTCCCCATCACTAGGATACAATACCCAACAACCACAACTTAAAGAAGGACAGCTATAATTTGGCTCATGGTTCCAGGGGATTTAGTGCATGGTTGACTGGCTCCAATGCAGAAGCATCATGGAGGAAGGGTGTGGTGGAGCAAAGCTGTGTAGTTCATAGTGATCAGGAAGCAGAGCAGGGGAACCACACCAGAGGGAGGGGCCAGAGTTCCAATATAGACCCCAACTTCACGTCTCCATGACCCACCCAGACACACCCAGAAGTGTGCTAATCCCCTGGGCAGCTCCCAAGTTGACAAAATTCAGCTGAACTGTCACTTAGGTCCATCTGAGGAAGCCACTTGGGTCACAGGCCTTAGTTTTTAATCTGTTAAGTGGAACAATGTGCTCAATGACCTTGCTGGCACTTCCATCTGTGTTATGTATGTCACCCAGTTGATGACCCAGGCTCTTTCCAGCTGCAAGTCAGCAAGGTGGCCACACCTGAAAATATTTCTTCAAGGTTTCTTCATGTTACAATGAAAGCAGCAAAAGACTCCTTGCTCCCATACTGGGCATTCTCTGTCATGTGACGTGATCACAGTTCTTGGAATCTTGGGAACTGAGCTCATTAAGTGCCACGCTGAGCGGAGGGCAGGACACATTCTAAGACTGGGGCATCTGCTCCATGTGAGCTTCCTGGGGACTTCACATGGAAAGCCACCACAGTGCTGCAGAGTGGCCTGGACTGTGGTATGCGCCCATGGGAGGCCCTCATGAGGGCTTACACTCAAAGGCTGCCTGTTTAAACATAAATAAGCAGCCTGCAGCACTGACACTCAAGGTCCCCATGAAACAGAAGCTGCTGTGCTTCCAGGCCTTGTTCTATGCCCCAAGGTGATGAAGGACAGTTGTACAGTGTGTAAGAAATGCAGAGTCCCTCCTTGTTCAGCCAACCGGTAGACTTGGGTTGGTGTCTATGTGGGTGTCGCTGTGTCTGCACCAAGAAACAAACACTGACAAGCAATAAATGGCTCACGTATCATGTAAAAATAGCCATGTGCAAGGTGAGGAAAACAGAAAATGGTAAGGAGGCAGGATGTGCTGGGCCCAGCTTGGGGACAGGACAGGCTGCATGAGGGCAAGGCGGGAGGACTTTCTTTCTGAGGTGAGGGTGTCAGGCAGAACTCTCATAAATGGTGACCTGGAGCAGAGCCTGAAGGCTCTAAGGGGGGACAGTGCTGCGGGCAGAAGGGATGACAGGACACAGTCAGTGGTGTCCTCTGGGAACTGTGAGGAGGCCTGGGGCAGGAGAGGTGACAAGAGGACATCAGAGCAGATGGTGGGGAGGAAGGAGGGCAAAACTCACCGAGTCTTCACTCTGAGTGAGCTAGGAGACCCTGGAGGCCTTGGAGCACAGAACGACCCGACCTGTTGCTCCTTTGGAAAGGAGTTCTTTAAACTGGGTGTGGTGGTATACAGCTATAATTCCAGCACTCGGCAAGCTGAGGCAGGAGGATTGCCAGGAGTTCTGGGATCCATAGTGAGTTCAAGGCCAGCTTGAACCACATAGCAAGTCTTTGTCTCAAAATATCAAAACTAAAACCAAAAGAAAAAAGAAAAGGAAAAGAGAAGATTCTTCTAGCTGTTTGCGGAGAAGGAAAGGGAAATAGAAGAGCAATAGGGAGACAGGAATGGAGGGGGAGATGGGGCTTCACTGGCTGGGCCCTTGGAGATGAAGAGAAATGTCAGATTCAAAGTCCCCCCATAGTTTGGCCATTGAGTGAGCAGAATTTGCTGTCGATCTGGATGTGAGACGTGAAAGAAAGACTCAAGGATGAAACAGTGTGTTTGGTGCGAGCAACTGGAAGAAGGAAGCTGCCATCTGCAGAGATCTGGAAAACTAGGGGACCCACCAATGCAAAACATGGCGTAGAAAACAAAGGTGTGGTCAGGAATATTCCAAGTGCGAGACACCCAGGAACAGCCACGGGCAGATATGCAGCAGCTGGACACATGACTCCAGAGTCCAGAAGAGAGGTCTGAGCTGGAGGCACAATACTGCCTGGTCAATGACACTGGAGACCAAAAGAGCTGGAATTACCGCTTCGAGTTTTTCTCACAGTAAGACAATCTGCAAACAAGGAAAAGGCATGACGGTTTTACATAAAGTTGGTCTTCAGATGAGGTGCGATTTTACAACCAGGACAAGCACATCCCAAAATAGTCTAAGGGTAAAATCAGACGGTGAGCTAGACCCCAGGATAACTAGCCCTTCTCCCTCCACACCTCCATGCCTTTGTGTAAGATACAATATGTGAAAATGGACTTCATCAGTTTAAAAACACTTCTGAGCTGGGCACAGCGGGACACACCTATAATCTTAGCATTCTGGGAGGCTGAGGCGGGGGTGGGGGCAGGGGGATCACAAATTCAAGCCCAGCCTGGGCAACTTAACACATAGGCCGAGGACTAGGATAGTCTTTTCTCCAAAGATAGACAACTGGCAATGAGCACCCAAAAAGATGCTCAAGGTCCTTAGCCCTAAGGTAAATGTAAATCAAAACCACCAGGAAATACACTTCAAATGCACGAGGATGACTAAAATCAAAAGAATGGAGATTAAGGAGTATTGGTGAAGATGCAGTGAAATAAGAACTTTGTGCATTACTGTTAGGAATGTAAAATGGAGCCAGGCGTGGTGGCACACACCTGACCTCAGTACTGCAGGAGGCTAAGGCAGGAGGATCCCAAGTTTGAGTCCAGCCTGAGCAACTTAGTGAGACTGCCTTGAAAAGGGGGTGGGTGCTGGGTATTTAACTCAAAGTGAAGGGCTTGGGTTCAGTCCTCAACACCACACATGTGCGCACACACACAGAATGTAAAACGGCAGAACCACTGTGGAAAACAGTGTAACAACCAAATCCGATCCTAGATGCATAACCAAGAAAATGGGAAACAAAGACTCTAACAGAGACTTGCACAGAGATGTTCATAGCAGCACCACTTACAATGTCCAAAAGGTAGAAACAACCTAAATGGCCATTGGTAAATGAAGTGAAAAACACAATATGGTTTATATGGATGATGGAATATTATTAAACCATGAAAAGGAAATAAAGCATTGATGCCTGGTCCAACATGGATGGACCTAGAAAACATTATGTCCAGTGTAAGAGTCAAGACACAAACATCGCATATTTTGATTCCATTTATGTGAAATATGCAGGCTAGGTAAAGTCACAGAGACAAAAAGAAAATGACTATTGTTAGGGGTGGGAGGAAGAAGGAATAGGGACTATTTAATGGCTACAGGGGTTTCTCTGGGGATGAGGAAAATATTTGGAACTAGATAGAGGTAGTAGTTTCATGATATTGAGACTGTACTAAATGCCCCTTTAAAATGGTCAGTTTGCCAGGCGTGATGGTGCACACACCTATAATCCCAGCACTCCGGGAGGCTGAGGCAGGAGGATTGCACGTTCAAGTGCAGCCTGGGCAACTTAGCAACTTAGCACTGTCTCAAAAAAAAATAAAATAAAAATCTAAAAAATAAATGGTCAGTTTTAGGTTATGAATTAGAAAAAAACAAGTGGAAGGAAAAGCTCTGGAAAGTCCAGTTCTGAGGAAGAACCTGCCCACGTAGCAGGGAGCTATTTTTCCCTAAGTCCCAGTGAGGCAGCCCAGGGTCTTTTGGCTACAGATACGAAGTCATCAGCTCAACATCCTTTATATCAGAGGTCACTTGCCACAAAGCAAGCAATAAAGAACTGGTTGTTTCCCTGACTTACATCTACTGCATTTATATATTCCACTGCTTCCCCCTGGCCGAGGGGCTTGGAAAGTAACTGGTCACCAGCTACATAGAATTCCCCAATTATTTATTTACCAGCAAGCAAAAGGAAGGTGACAGAAAGGCACAAGCGAGCTAACTGTGCCTTTGAAAGCTCGGGCTCTAGAGAGAGGGACACGGTGGCAATTTGCAGACTCACGTGGGCGGGAGCAGATCGGGCCTCTGGAAACAGCTGTGTAACGACAGAATGTTCGAAGGCTTCAAGGCCCACCCTCCACCCTGGACCAAGGCCAAGCTCAGCAGAGCACAGGGGTTTGACACAGTCTGAAATCTCAGAAGCGGACATTAAACTCTGGGCTCTGAATGAGCTGCACCATTTAGCAAGGCCTTGCTCCCTCTGTTCAAAAGAACAACCCCAGGAGACTGAAATGAAAGGCCAGGCCCGAGACAGCCCTGGTGGACTTCCGGTAAGAATAACCCGTCAAAGTCACTTCTGCAGGGGGCCAGTCCTCTGGGCTGGAAGGAAGCGGGCTCTGCTAAGGACAATGGACCACTGTGTGGACCTCTGCAGCAGGACGCAGAGTTAAATGCAAACTCGTAGTTACAAAGAATTTTGTAGGGAGGATTTGAAGATGGACGTGGCTTGCATTTTTGTTTCAGTGAATCTTGATACCCCTTTTTCAAAGCTTGTCCCTTTGCACTGGAAAGTGAAAGCAAAGCATTTCCACCCAGCCACAGAGAACACACTATAAACAGGACCCAAGTGCTGGTTCATTAAAAGCTGGGTGAATTGTTGAGCCATACCTTTTTGTTTTTCCTATAAAACCTCTAGTCTTAACCAACGAGAGGAAAAAAGAAGTCGTGTGATTTAAGGAATAATCACATGGAGGAGAGTGTGGTATCTCTCACCATACTCTGGTCAACATTTTTAGTATTACTGTTCAGTCAACGAACACGTATTTATTCTTGCCACATTGGGCTTCATGCTAGGTGTGAGGATACAGTGAGAAGCAAAGCAGTCACTTCCGTTTCAGGGAGCAGGTGACACACAGAGGGACACATACAACTATCTACCCAGCTAAGTGCTAAAAGGAAGGGACATTTTCCATCACTCAGAGTCTCCTTCCCCAAACCTTATTTTCCTTTGCGGCACTGGAAATCGAACTCAGGACCTTGTGCTTGTGAGGCAGGTGGCAGCACCACTGAGCTAAATCCCTGACCCTACAACCCTTATTTTCTGATCTAAGATGAGCCCCCACTATCATGAGAAGATGGTTTAATTAGATATTTCCCAAGGTCAGTATGGTTCAAAGGGAAACAATGGCACCCAGAGAATGGAACTAGAACTCGCCAGCAGGGCTTTCTCTCCGAGTTCTCAGGGAGTCCACTTTGCATCGTAAACAGCTCCTAAAACAAGAGCACCCACAAGTCCTCCCGGACAAAGCAATTTACAGGTAAATGCGCTGAGAAAAAGAACCACTGTCCGAGGAGAACAAGCCCAGCTGGAAGATGTGAGTGCACATATGACCAGCGGCCCATTGGGTGGGAACAATGGTCCCCAGTCACATCCAGTTTCGAAGCCCTCCTCTGTAGCAACAGCATCACTCGCTTTATATATGCCTCACTAAAAGGAACGGGTTTCTCAAAACAAAGGGACAGTTTGCCTCAAGAATAAGTCTGTACACACCCTCCAACACTTGACCCTCACCATCTGCTCTCACAATATTTGCCCTTAGAGGTCCCCCAAAGATGGAAGCAAGGCCCAGTCCTAACCAGGTTCACCTCGTTAAACTGTTTAACAAAATTCCCAGGTGGCGAGAGCTGAGCATGGGCTGGGGGTTGGGCTGAAAGAACAGACCAAAGTAGACCTCAGCCAGCTGAATTGAGACCCCAGTGGTATCCAGGTGTCAGGTAAGCTCCAACTCAGGGACCTCCAGGGCAGGTGGCAAATATTAACCTCAAAGGGCGCAGACAGAGAAGCTGTCACTTAGCAACCATGCATAGAGCTTGGGGCCTAAACTGACAGCAAATAAGAAATAACATGATGGAAAGACCACAACTGTGGGGATTATAAAACAGGGCTCCTCCTGTCTTCTGCCTCTCTCAGACTCAGTGTCTTTCAACCACAACATTATAATAGCCCCTTTCCACCTTAGGGTCTCTGATGTTGTAGTTTGAGAGTAGTTCCCCTCTCTAACACCTGAGGAATACATTCTCTTCATGTTAATATTAAATTAAAAAACTGAATATTTGGCCTGGGGTGGGGTCAATACAGCTGCCTTGAGGTTAGATGGTGTAAATCCAGTTGAACAAGGGAAGAGTTTATCACAGTGAACAACTGAACTTCCTAAATGTAGATTTCAGAATGGCTCGGAGTTGGGTATGGTGTTGCATACCTGCAATCCCAGCACCCAGGAGGCTGAGGCAGGAGGATTGCCACAAGTTTGGAGCCAGCCTGGGCTACATAGTGAGTTTGAGTTCAGCCTAAACTACACATCGAGACACTGTCTCAGAAAAGAAAATGGCTGGGGGAGACTGTAGGGGAGGTCTAAAAAGACCCCCCCATTAAGAACAATTATGCAGAAGATGAACGATAGAGTAATGAGAAGCAGTCTTGTTTTTATGAAGAGCAATCAGAATCTGTCTTGACTTTCACTCAAAATGAAGCATTTATGTATTGGAATTTAATGATGTGATGTTTTCATTGCCAACTGACTGATAGGTCCGATCTGAAAGTAGAAAAGAACAGAATATGCCATCATCCATGTCTCTTTGTCACCATAGTCCTCCTCCCTCTCCTCTTTGTTCTCCTCGTACTGAAATCAATCCCAAAGAAGCCCTTGCCATTGCTACCCTCTGCATAAATGAGCTGGTGCTTGTGGCAGTGTGGATTTGGGGAATACAGGAGCAGGGGCAAATGGGACGCTGGGGACTGTCCTGCAGGACACCTCGCCAGGGGTGCCAGACAGCTCGGGTGATGAATCTTCTTGAAGCTGTCCGGCACGATAGATGATGGCTGACCATGTACACAGCGGGCAGCCTTCCCGGCTGCGGCGGCGGCCTGGATGTCTTCCCAGTGTCAGCAACTCCATCCGGAGGAGCTGCTCTCCGTTCAATTTGTTGGGGACAACTGTTTGAACACACCCCCACCTCAGCCTTCTCAGTTTCTCCTTGGCTGGAGGCGTGAGGATGACAAAGACCAAGTGGGTATGTGCAGGGACCTCTCTGTACCTCTTGGGAAGGTCCTAGTGAGGATGCTAGGCTTCAAAGGTCACGGGCTCCCTTCGAAAGACTACAGTGCGACACCCGGACATCTAAAAGTTATAGGGTGCAG